TTTTAAACTGTGTTCTTCAAAAGATAACATTATAAAAATAAGTGGAATAATGGGTATCGATACTTGCATTTATATAACTGATAAAGGACTTGTATCTAGAATATATTTTAAAACTGTTACAGCTCACTAATAAAATAGTCCAATTTGAATGAACAAAAATTTGTTAGGCTTGGTGGCACACACTTCTAATCCCAGCGACTGGGGAGGCTGAGGAAGAAGGATCACAACTTCAAATCCTCAGCCACATAGTGAGACCCTGTCTGAAAATAAATAAAATAAAAATGTCTGGGGATATGGCTTAGTGGTTAAACACCCTGTGGTTTAATCCCTGGTACACTCCTTCACAAAATAAAGTGGGCAAAAATTTTAATAGGCACTTCAAAAAAGATATATAAGTAGCTAATAAGCCTGTGCAAAGATAATGAATAATGTTCATTGTTAAATACAAATTAGAGCCACAATGAAAAAAAAAAGTCTGAGCAAGAATATGGAGAAAATGGGACTATCATACATTGCTGGTTGGGAATATAAAATGGTAAAGCTACTCTAGAAACACTGTGACAGTTTTTTTAAAAAGTTAAATATGCACTTAAAATAAAATTAGTCCTTCTACTTCTAGGTAATTATGGGAGAGAAATGAAAACATATGGAAATGTTGGTAAATGAATGTTCACAGCAACATCACTCTTAATAGCATAAAGCTATAAGTAATGCACATATATATCCACTAAACAGATGAACAAATGTGGCACATGCATAAAATGGAATAGTATGCAACAATTAAAACAAAAACCAGAAGGATTAATATGGATGAACCCTAAAACATTATGCCAAATGAAAAAAAAGACAAAAAAGAATACCTGTTTTATAATTCCATTTACATGAAATTTCTAAAACATAAAGATCTGTGCAGGCAGAAAATAGGTTAGTCGTTGCTTATGGTGGGTGGCAGAAGTGAAAATTGATGGCAAATAGCTATAATATTTTTTAGAGTAATGAGAATATTCTAAATCTAGATTTTATTTATGGTGCCACAAATTTATAATTTGATAATATCATTAGACTTTAGAATTAAAATAATTCAGCTTTTTGGTGTTTAAACTCTTACTCCATAAAGCTGTTAGAAAAAAATTGTAAGATCATAAGATTTAGACACCTAGATAAATTCATAAAATTAATCAGATGAACTTTAGTTGTGCCAAAGGAGTAAATTGATTTATTCTTCAAAAATGATAACTGACATATTATTTAAAATATAGGAAAGAGATATAGGTGGAGCATGGTGGTGCACTCCTATGATCCCAAGTACTTGTGAGTTCCAGGACAA